CATGGAGAGAAACAGGCTCGCAGGTGGGTCCAGAGGAGCTATCGACTGTGGAAGCAGTGGACGGGCTATCTCGTCGAGTATTCCTTGGAGCCTGCCAATCAACGTAAGTTCTCTTTTCACAAATCTGCGAAGTCATCATGACTGACAATCGATAGTTTCAACCGACGACTTTGCTGGTTGGCTTGCTCTTCAGACCAATTTGGCTCTCAAGGGCATTATTGGCATTAACGCCATGAGTCACATGGCACAAGTAGCTGGAGAATCTGAAGATGCTTCGTATTTCAAGGATATCGCCGACGAATACATCTCCAAATGGGAGGAATTTGGAATGTCTCGTGACAAGACGCACGCCAAGTTGGCGTACGATTGGTACGGCTCATGGACGACTCTGTACAACCTTTATGCCGATGCACAGCTATGTTTCCATCTGGAGGGATCTGGCAAGGGGAAGACACCTTCCTCTGGGCAGAAGCCTCTGAAGCCCCACCAGAAGGAAGGATTTGTACCGAAACACATCTACAAGAAGCAATCGACTTGGTACCACTACGTTCGACAGAAGTACGGGCTGCCTCTGGATAGCCGTCACCTTTACACCAAGACCGACTGGGAGTTCTTTGCGATGGCTGTCGCGAACGAGGACACCCGAAGCGAGATCTTGGAGTCGGTGGCGAAATGGGTGAACGAAACGGTGACAGACCGGCCGCTGACAGACCTGCATGAAACCGAAGGAGAAGGGAACTATCCCGGTGTTACGTTCTTCGCCAGACCGGTGGTCGGGGGTCACTTTGCCTTCTTGGCCCTGCAGCGGGCGTGCGGCGGACACGCCCGGGAGGGACTGTCGTTCTTGGATGAGGATGACACTGCTGCGGATGATGATGATGATGCTGCTGCTGCGAGGGCGGCTACTGAGTTCCGTTCGCATTCTTTTCCCTGGATAAGATGGTGATTGTAAAGAGAAACCCCACATTTGGGTATCCATTGTTGTTACCATTTGCTAGTTTCGCTGGTCTTGGGGGCCTTGGATATTATTATCTTCATCCAATTTGGACAGCTCTGTACCTAGGAAGGAAGGACACCATGGAAGCATGGTGAATTTATACCAATGCCATTATATATAAAGCTCATTCACCTGTTTCCTACCCAGCTGGTAGTTCGTTATCAATCGGTTAGCTGCAAAGGGTCAGAGTGTCAACACTCAAGCAGAGCTCCCAAAATGCATACTGCTCAGGAAGACACTCCAAGAGCGAGAGAGCATCCCGATTATTATCGAATGGGCACCGACGCGTTGTTGCACCTCCCAGAGGAAAGAAGACCCACGTGAAGAAGAAGAAAAAGAAAAAGAAGAACCAATTCTGCGATCGATTATTCCAAAGTGACTGACTGGGTCAGTGCCTCGTCTACCCTGAGCGTAGCTTCCCTTGCTATCTATGTATCTATGTATCTATCCATCTATCCTCGCCGTGCTTTTTTTTTTATTGATCCTTCAGCTCTATCTACTACAACATTCACGGAACAGGTCCCAGACCTCTCTCTCTCTATATATATACGACCCTTAGTTTCGTCGTTGGAGTCATTATTCTTATTCTATTATTATAATTATATGTAATTAATTACGTACAAGTTGTATGCAAGATATGCAGTATATGTTGCAGTGGTAATATTCTAGCGCCACGTTAACCCCGCTTGCCTCCTGTTTAGATCTAAGCTTCGTCTAAGATAACTGTTTTCCATTCGTTTTAAGAATCCGCCTATTCTACAAGTCCTGAGTGAGACCTCACCACAGGTGAATGCGGTATTTTTAAAATATTTTCGAGGCCCGATATAGATTTGAACTTTTTTTTTGTCTTGGAAATCAGGAGGAACGGGATCGTGGAGGAAACATGGGGAGATGACTAGGCAAAATGTAGAGGAAACAAGGTGTTTGGCGACAAAATTTCCCTTGCATTGACACAAAAAAAAGAAGAGAGACATTCCCACCAGGTCAACCTCCTGCCATCGAAACCGAGCACACAAGGAGACACAGGCTTCTAGCTGGAAGGTTTGGGTCGTCTGGTCTGCAATCCACACTAAGAAGAGCTCTTCCGTAGCTGGACATCACGCGTACACAGCACACCCAATCTCACTCTTCAGCTTATTTAGACCCAAGGCTGGGGAAGTTCTTCTCGTCGACGGTAGGACCGGCAGGGGCGCCACGGTTGCCACCGCGACCTCCATCACCACGGCCTCCACGACCGCCGCGTCCTCCGCGGCCCCGGTTACCGTTTCCGCGGCTGCGAGGCGGTTCAACGAAGCGCATGTCGACATCGAGGTAGGTCTTCTCCTTGCGCGGCTTCTCGCGCTTCGTCTTTTCCTCCTTGCCCTTGATGTAGTTCTCCTCGTCTTCGTCACGCTTGAACTCCTTGGCATTCTCCCACTTCTTGTCCACCTTGACACCCTCGTTGGGCGGACGAGCAGCCTTCACACCAAGGTCCTCGCGCTTCTTCTCAGCCTGCTCAGCGAGGTACTCCGCATACGACTTGGTCCTCTCGGTCGGCTCCTTCTCCTCAACAGGGGCACCCTCACCCTCATGAGGCGTCTGAGGCTCATTCTGCTCGCTCCGGGCAATGGCTTCACCGATCTTCTCATCAGTCCACTCAGAGTCTCCCTTGGTAGCTCCCCAACCCTGGTCCATCTGCTTGTTCGTATCCCTGGTGATATGTCGCATCAGCATGCTGCTGCCCTCATAGGTAGGAGGAAAGAAACATACGTGTGACCAGAGCGCGAGTGACGGTCGTTGCGAACACGGGCACCGCGGTCGTCGCGTGCCCGGACGCCGCGCCTCTGAGCCTCCTTGTGCTCATCAACGGGCCTGGAACGGTTGTTGTAGCTGCCGGCCTGACGGTCGCGGAAAGCTGGAGCATGATCAGCGTTCCATCTAAATCCCCAATGCAAGTAGTAGACCTGTGACTGACCTTCCTCATTGGCGTTGGTCACGCGTCCGCCACGACCACCGCGGGCGCCGCCACGGGGGCCGGTGGGAGGGGCGCTAGGAGCCTCCTTCGGGGCATCGCGCTTGCCGAGGCGGGGTGCAGGCTTCTCGATGGCCCGCGTAGGAGGAGAGGGTTCTCTGTCGGGGTCGAGCTCGGGGTCATTGCCTGTGGGATGGGAGGAGGGAGCCCGGGTTAGATGATGATGTAATCGTGATACAGGTTGCTAAGGCGCAGGGAGAGAGGAGGAAAATACCAAGAAGCTCGTAGAGATTCTGCGCAACAGCAAGGCGATCAGCATGAATTGGCACGGAGAAAGAGGGTCAATTCGCAGGAAGAGGGCAAGCAAGCTGGCAGGGGAGGAATTGCAGCGAGCAGCATGGGCATACCTTGGACCGGACGTCCGCCATGACGCCTGGCTTTTGGGAGGGAGTGCCTTCCTGGGAAGGCTTCCTTTATTATCGCAACAATTCGAGGAGGGAGAGGACGGACGGATCGAGACAGGCAGAATCCTAGGCGTGTAGGAATTCAGCCTCTCGGGAGAGATACGAACGTGGGGTGGGGGGAGAAGGTAGCAAGAATCTAAGGGAGGGAAGGAGGAGCAAGAGGGAGGCGAGTGGTGAGAGGTTTGGGTGGATGCGGCGGATGGAGAACAAGGGAAACAACGGTGTGTGGCCTGTGGTTTGTGGAATGGCCTTGGGGCTCTTCCAATTCCACTGTGTCGCGCTGGGCATGCCTGTCTGCTAAGCGAAAACGGCCGGCGGGCGCGCGCTGTGGTTGGGCGGCGCTGCGTCTCCGGATCGGTTGCTTTAGGGCTTAGGGTACCGATCCGCCGCTAGCTCTCCGGACTAGGGAGGTAGCTAAGCCTTAAGAGCAGATCCTCGACTATCATATCAATCCTACATCAGTTGCAGACGTCATGGATCAATTCGTATGTATTCGTCCGTCGCGCATGATCGTGCGGGACAGGCCCTGATCGCACGATGGCACAGTATGCTCCAAATATCCACATATGCATCAAGTATCAACAAGAAGAGCAAACCACCCGGACCTCTCCGAAGCCATTTCCTTTTGAAAAAGCCCTACGAGTATGCGGGCGAACGTCATCTGTACACCAATGCAGGAACCGCCGAACAAACATCACATCAGCGCATCCAGGTATCAACCATAATTTCCAAACGCCCATTATAATCTCCAGAATCAACTTTTGGTCTCCAACCATCATGACCCATGCACCACACCGTAAAAAAAAAGAATCAAGAAGGAAAAAAAAAAGATGAGAGGAGTATAAAAGAACCTCCGCCTCCCGCCTTTATGTCGAAAATCAAATTACACACGAATCGAAGCCGCCAAGTCAGTGGCGCAGGTTGTTCTGTTCGTAGCTGAATGGGGTCTGGAAGTGCATGCTGGCACTCAGCCCAAACGTGTCCGTATCGAGCATAGGTTCAAACTGGCCAAAAAGGGAATTCGTTCCTCCGTAGACCACGTGATCGACATCACCCCCTTGCTGCTGCAGAGAGGGCTGACCGGTCACACCCATGCGCTGCTGGCCGGACGGGACCGGGGGTTGGTTGAAATCCGGGACGTACGAATTCGAGCCGGTGCCCCCGTCCTGATGACCGGGATCGTCGAGCATGTCTGCTTGGGCATCGTATTCCTGCTCTGTACACGACCGAATCAATCTAGGACGAACAGAGTTCCATGGGGTCGCAGATTCAGGGGGGGTCAGCTTGCCTAGTTGCTCATAATGCTTCTGGAAGGGGGAGGGATAGTACACCGACGACGGCACTTGAGAAGCCATCGAGCTGCCGGGCATCATAGATTGTGAAGGGGTGCTAGTGGTCGTGGTAGTGGCAGTGCTGGTACTAGGGTCCATGGATTCCGCATGGGACATTGGCATTTGGGGTGCTTGGGAAAAGGCTCTAGGCTGCGATAGCAACGCCGAGCGACCATGCTGCTGCGGCTGCTGCTGCTGCTGCTGCTGCTGCTGCTGTTGCTGAGCCTGGAACTCTGGTCCCTTTGGGGACATCCCACCTTGCAGGGGAAAGCCGGGCGATCTTGCAGTGGAGGGAGACGATACATGAGACGAAGGGGTGGGCTGCAGTTGGGGGGAATGAACATTGTAGGCACCGTCCCGGGGCTGCTGAGGGATCCCGGCCGGATCAGCCTTGGGGGCAATTCCTCCAGACCCCTGTCTTTGAGCGGAATTCCTACTGATGGCAGCACGCTCGAGGGGCGAGGACTGCTTGGGAGCTAAGGTGCCTGGCTTTACGGGACCGAGACCAGAGGCACTACCGGTCTTCAACCGCAACTCGGCCTGGACGTCGATGCCTGGCGACGCATGTCTTATCAGCGCTTGTCCCGGCACGGCAGAGACGAAAGGCATGCCCACCTTTTTCGATAAGAATTCTCTCCAGGAGCGAATTCTTATACCGCAGCATCAGACATTCGTCCGCGGCACTCCGGTGGCTCTGTTGCAGGGACTGGAGGGCCTCTTCATTGCGTTTGATGGTCGATTCCAGCTGCTTGATGTACTCCGTCCTCCTCTCTCGGAAGGCTGCCTGCGCCTGTCTGTTGCGTTGCTTACGTTCCTCCGATGTGGCATAGATCTGCGACGTTTCATCAGTACGGGAATCGCAGAGAAATGCGCGAGAGTCAATTCAGGTGATGGAAGATTGGATGACGTACCGGCTTCCTGCCCCCTTTCCTCTTCTGGGTCTGAGCGACATCCTGCGTCACCGTCTCTGCCTCGGGCTCGGGGGTCGAGACCGAGGAACTCATCGAACCGGGGCCATCCTGGGTCGGTTCAGACTTGGGCACGACCGTGTCCATGGAAACATCATTGTCCTTGGACGCCCCGGACTCAACCATTGAGACAATGGCAATTCCAAGGACTGAGAGAGGCGGGCAGGGGGAAGCAAGGCCCCGCGGAACACCAGCGATAAGGGACCGGACCCCTGGAGCAGCCAGATGGCGATGGCGGGGTCAGTCGCAGGCGAGCTGCTGTAGGCGCAGGAGACGCGCGGCTGGGCGGTTGTTCAGGCACGGGCGAGGGCGCGGACGAGTCAGAGGGCGAGCGGCGGTTCCAGTGACATAAAAGAAATTCCGTGATATGATAGAGATCAGGGGAGGCAAAAAGGGCGATGGAAGAGAAATTGATGTGAGGTAAAATTATTTCCTAAGAAAAAAAAAAGGAGCCCTGTGCCTTAAGACACGACTGAGCAGGACTGACGACAGCGAGTCAACGGTGCCGGGCCGTGTGCCGGGGCGGGCGCCTTCTTGGCTGGGCTGTTGCTGCGCTCAGTGTTCGGCGCCCTTCTTTTTTTTTCTGTCGGTGGTGCTGCTGTAAGAACGGCTGGCTGTGCGGGCGCGAGACTGAGAGGGGTTCCACTTGCAGCGCACGTCAGCGGCCGCCCAACGTGACTGGCCACCGCGGTGGGGGATGCTTCCTCTTCCAACTTCCTTTGCCGTCCGCCCGTCGCCGTATCCAGCAGGTCCGCGGAGAAGCCTCGAGGGGAAGGTCGACCCGGCCTGTCGCGGGATCGCCCACCTCGCGTCCAGAGCACTTGAACACTCGTTCTCTATGAATTCAAGGCCATCCATGAAGCCATTCTTCTCATAACGTCTACCTATTCCTGCATTGAATGCCGTTTGATGCGGAGGGCCATCCCAGCCGGCGCCCGCCGCACTGTGTTCTTACCCCGGCGGAGTTCTACGGGTACGAGAGATCACCAGCAACACTAACCCCAGACAAGACGATTGTCAGCTAGTCAAAGCATTCCCCCTACGGAGTAAATGCCTAAATACCCAAATACTTCGTGGGCATTGGTAGTACAAGGCTGCCTGTTGCAACTGAAAGTTCTTCCACGGCGAGCTCTGGCAATGACCGATCCCAGAAGAGTTAAAAGATACGCATCCAATCACGCATTCTCCCCGCGCCGTAAGAAGGAGTGTGCCTGGTGCTGCTGGCCTAAGTCCTGTGGTGTGAGTCGAGACTTGACCCGAGAGAAAATTCAACACTGTCACGCGGATATCTAGTTGGACTCTAGGTCCAACCCTATACAGTTGGCGAAGGATTGGCCTGTCCAGGGCCCAGGGCACCTTCGTCTCCAGCCAAGCGATATTAATATCAGGACAGGTACGGCCTGCAGATGCAGTACTAAAACAGAGTAGTAGTGCTGCCCGTATATACCTATTCTCTTGGCAGGGTTGGCTACCCTCGCTAGGGAGTAGGGACCATCGCGGGGGTTGAATTCCGACATCCCGCACCGAGGACGGAGTGCTGGCGAGCGATCAGACCACCGCTAAAGATCGTCAGTACTCCATACTCCGCATCACTGATCGGTTGCGCGGAGCTTCTTGAAATAGATGCCGAAAGGGTCAAAGTCACAACAGGAAACAGGGATTCTAATGCCTTTCCCATCTGTCAGATGTGTATTATATTTCTCTTTTTACTTCCTATATAGTTCGAAAAATAAAATACCAGGTGTATTCCCTAGTATATATCCGTACACTATTCTCTTAGGTGTGGGTTTTTTTTTTCAGATACAACTTAAACCGGATTGGAATTGTCGCTGGAGTGCCTAGGTACATCCAGCAGCTTATACAACTACAGATCTGCTTCTCCACAAATCTGTTGATTCTCACGGTTATTTTAATCTAGATTTATCTCCCTGTTAAGACGTGACTGGCTCGTTGGAACCGTTTTGGCCGCAGATACAGATCTCCTTGGTCGTGGTCAAGCTAATTGGCTCTCATGCCCTCTATCTATGCAGACAAATCGCCTATCAAACATTATCGCTTGCACTCCCGCATCAACCTGCCTTTAGAGGTCAACGTCTTGCTTTTAGGTCAGGACAAGTCAGTCAAGATGACACATGGCAGCGTATCCAGAAGTCTGCATCATCGCGCCGGCAGACATGATTTAAAGCTCCAAGCATCCCTCCTCGACTGTGTCCACACCGATGCTTGCTACAACTAAACCCAGAACGGACTGTGTCCTGCCAAACCGTGTTCCCAGGTCGACAGATAAAACAAGCCCCAACACAGCCATCATGTCTGCTTGGCAGCCTCACCCGTTTGATCCTCTGTCGCCCCAGGAGATTTCAAAGGCGAGCGATGCCCGGATTTGCTGACCATTGCCTCAGTGACGAGAAACGCAACTGACAGTCCGCAGACGGTACGCGTGCTGAAAGATGCATACCCGAATCACAAGCTCGTCTTCCGCGTCGTGACTCTGGCAGAGCCCCCGAAGGCTCAAATGATCCCATTCCTGGAAGCAGAACATGCGGGACGCAGTGCGAAGCCACCTGCACGAACTGCGCGGGTCCAGTTCTACCGAGATGCTGCAACGGATTTCCGTGAGGCGCTCGTTGATCTCGATACGGGCAAGATAGTCGACGAGCAGCCCCTTCCAGGAAGACACTCATATGTAGACGACGGAGATGCAAGCCGCAGAGCAAGCCTGCCTGGCTGCCCCGGAGGTCAAGGAGGCTATCAGCATGCTGAAGCTCCCCGAGAATGCAACCGTCTGTATCGAATCCTGGACGTATGGGACGGACGGGATGAACGATATGGCGGAGAGGATCATCATGGTGAGAACAGTTTCTTTCCTGCCTGGAGCATCGATCTCACTGGCTATCTCTTTCTAGTGCTACTTCTACATGCGTCTCTCCGATCACGGCGACTCCAATCATTACGCGTATCCGCTGGATATCTGTGTCGAAATGTCGGGGGACTTGACTGTCAAGAGGATCCTGTCTTTGCCATTGGGCGAGAATGACCGCTGCGGACTCCTCAGCGAAGTTGGCGTTAAGCCATTCGATAGAAACAAGATTCACGCCACGAGCGAGTATCATCCTGACCTCGTCAACGAGCGACGTAAAACGACGAAACCATATCACGTAGTCCAGCCCCAGGGTCCGTCGTTCCACACGCAAGGGAATCTGCTTACATGGGAGAAATGGAAGATGAGGGTTGGTTTTAACTACGTGAGTGCCACGATGTCTCCTGTTTTGTTTCTCGTACTGATCGTGCAGCGCGAGGGTCTCACTCTTCACGACATTACCTATGATGGCCGGAGCGTGTTTTATCGACTTTCTCTGTCTGAGATGTTCGTCCCTTACGGCGACAGTCGAGCGCCGTATCCTCGAAAAGGCGCCTTTGATTGGGCAGTAACGGTGCTGGTATCAATGCAAACAACCTTAAACTGGGTGAGTTCCCATGGCAGAATCAATGACGGACATCCTTTTTAATTCAAGGCCAGGCTGCGATTGCCTAGGTCATATCAAATATTTCGATGGGTACCACCATACGATGGCAGGCGACCCTATCAAACTACCAAATGTAGTGTGCTGCCACGAGATTGACGACGGTATCCTCTGGAAACACACCAACTACCGTACCGGCAACGCTGTCGTCACACGCTCTCGTATTCTCGTCCTTCAGACAATCATCACGGTAGGCAATTACGAGTACATATTCGCGTTCCAGTTCACGCAAGATGCATCTATCAACTACGAAGTCCGAGCGACAGGCATCCTGTCGACCGCTCCCATCAACCTCGGAGACAGCGTATCTTACGGGACCATAGTGGGACCTGGCGTCATGGCGCCTTACCATCAACACCTATTCTCTTTAAGAATCGATCCGGCCATTGACGGACACCGGAATTCCCTGATTGTGGAAGAGTCTCACCCCATGCCGATCGACGACCCCAACGTGCACAACCCGTTCGGAGTCGACCGTCTCCCAGGTCGTGGAGAAAGAAACCGGGCTCGACACGGACGTCAGCAAAGGCCGTGTGTTGAAGATCGTCAACGAGAATGTGCGAAACCCGATCACGGGCGGACCGGTGGGCTACAAACTCGTACCGCATTACTCGCAGCTGGTGCTCGCGCACCCGTCGTCGTACCATTTCAAGCGATCCGAATTCGGTGAGCACGCTATCTGGATCACCAGATATCACGACGATGAGCTCTACAGCTCCGGAAAGCACACGATGCAGTCCCTCGGCGGAGAGGGGATCGCGTCGTGGATCCGATCCCGGCCGGCGCCCGTCAGCGTCCGCAACGAGGACATTGTCATCTGGCACACGTTCGGGACGACGCACAACCCGCGCATCGAAGACTGGCCCGTCATGCCGGTCGAGAAGATGCTCGTCTCGTTGAAGCCGATCAATTTCTTTACCAGAAATCCGGCCATCGATGTGCCCATCAGCACGCAGGAAGAAAACAAGAGCGTCCTAGTGGAAGATGATAAAGGAGCAGCCAACGTCGGAGGAGCTTCCTGCGCGAAATTATGAGGGAATATATATATATAATAGATATTCTTAAGCGATATGGCAAGAAATTGTCGAAGCAGACGATAAAGATCTATTCAAGTCCAGCAAATTACCGAAAGTAGATTACCCGTGTGCGGGCGCCATGCCTGAACGGGAGGCCCCCACCGTCCCCGCGAGCCTAGGTAATTCCGATTTCACAGGCCTCGGCAGAGTTAGGTACTTCCCTTCTCCTTTCCTTGCCTTGTTCTGGTTTAAAAGTCCAGGTTACTATCGTCCCAAGCAAGCAAGTGAGATTGCTTGCTTGAAGAAAGGAATTAATTGAGCATGGCCGCCGCAGGCGATAAGGACAAGCCTGATGACGATCCGACCGCACCTGGTGGGGTGGATGATGCCAACGTCAATAGCAACGCCGATGTCGCGCCGGCGACAGCGAACGCCACAACTGCGGCTGTAGAAGATGATGAAGAATCGGACTGGGAAGAGTTGGATGGTACGTTTGATATGCACTTTTCTTTGTTATCGGACTAGAGTGAACTAGACCATTCGTGATTTTTTTTTGGTTCATCTGTTTTCTCACCAAGGTTGTTACTTCGATGGCTTACCGTAACTTCTTCTTACAGAGGTCTTGGACGATTTCAACAAACCCAAACAATCGAAAGATGCGCAACCATCCGCTTCTGCACCCGGGAAGTCTGAACCTACTACCACCGCAGCTGCTGCCGCTGGCGAATTCGATGAAGAGGCTTTCCTGAAACAGTTAGAGGCGGACATGGCCAAGCTGATGAGTGGAGTTGGAGCGGCAGCAGCAGGAGGACCCAATGCAGAAGCAGAAGCAGGACCCAGCGATGCGAACACGCAGGCGGTCAACGACTTTATCGACAAGGAGATTGATGAGCTGTCTAAGCAGCTCAAAGATAACGGGATCGAGCCCGAATCGTTCCTGAAATCATTAATCGCGGAGTCGATCTCACCCAGTGGTTCTAAAGATAAAGATGGGAGTGGTGCTGGGACTGGGACTGGGGCTAGCGCCGGGGCTGGCACAGAATCGACTCCGCGAGCATCGTTTCAGGACACGATCCGGCGGACGATGGAACGGATGCAAGAATCTGGAGACCGCGCCACGGCAGCTGCAGCCGAAGACGACGTCCCGGAAGATCTGCTGGCGCAG